TCTAGAAGGGAGGAGAATGATGAATAATCATATCCGGAAGGGAGGAGAATGATGAACTCTAAAGGAAGGGGAATGTTTTTATCGGGTTTAGAATCTATGATCTAAAGAAATATGAGAAAACAAAAATAAATAATTTGATCAGTCGATTAAATATGCTTTTTTAATATCATGTTAAAATTAAATTACCTATAAACTATATTATTTATAAATCATAATATTTTAATTTTAGAACATAAATTATAAATAATTTCAAATCTAGTTTGATATCTATATTATTTTTATTGGAGTATACTAAAAGCTCAAATTGGAATTTATCGAGTAGTGATAGTGGTAAAATGTAATACTTATATTCTTAGAAATTTTAGGTTTGAGTAGCTGTGTTTGCAGTATGTATATTATTAATTGATTAAGAAAATTCTGAATAAATGATACCTTATAATCATTTTAAATTATTAAAATGAAAAAGTTCAAATTCACATAATGATTAAGTTGTAACCTTTATATTCAAAGCTCTATAATTCGAATCCCCCTTTAAATATAACCCTATAACAATGTAGTTCATCCAATATATTATGACAATGACAATTTTTTTTAATATTTGTTTAAATATTTATTTCAATCCTCAATATTTTATTTTAAGAAAAAAAATCTTAATGTTTGACTAAATAATTACTTTGGTTATTATTTTTTAGAACATTTTGATTTTTAAAATTTTATTTTAGGGAAAAATCTCTATTTTAAAACAAAAATATTCTTATTTTAAATTATTTATTAACTAAATTTTTTTATTCATAAAGGGATTTTTTATTTAAAAATATCAGTGTCAAAATATTTTAAAAATATGAATTAAAATAAATATTAAAACATTATTCCAACAGCCTTTCCCTCAACCGCATATCCTTGAAATTAACGCCTAACCCTTTCTCACCAAAGACAAAGTCCTCTATGAAGCTGCAAATAGTGTGGACCCTCTTTTATATTATTCTTTTTCTTCGTCAAATTGAAGCCAATAGTGTGGACCCTCTTTTAGAACGATTTCCAGGCTAAGTACTGAGGCAGAATTAGTAAAATATTGATACCGGGCTGATTATTTAACCCAATAAGGTAATTTTAATTTTAATTTGGGATATACGATAAAAGTTATAGTGTATCTAAAACTCGTCACGTCGGCATATTAAACATTACTCTACCATTTTGATTTTTACATTCGGATGAAAACGATAGAATATTCAATGTATTTGACGTCATCATTGATTCAAATTGCACACCTAAATCGTCATGAGATTGACTGTATTGAAGATCATCCCATGCACCACTAGCTTCCGTTTCTTGTGCTGAAAATTGTTGCGAGGTGGCATTTGACCCAAGGAACTTCTTACACACACCGCTCGACTCTCCATCGATGCTTGATATGAAGCATATCCACTATAACTTGCTTGAGATGAATAATAATCGACGGAAGCTTAAGATGAATATGATTATTTTTTGGCATATTTTGCCTTCATTTCCTCCCATTCGGCTCGATCCCCGACGTTCTCAAGTATGGTTTCCCATTTGTTTCAGAATTTTGGAGATAAGGAGAAACTGTGAAATCAAAATCTTCCAGTTGAATCTCGGAACAATTAGACAAATGTAAATGCCTCTTATGCCATTGTTGTATGTATATAACATGCTTCCTCGGCCAATCTTCCTTATGCTTTCCGCTCGCATCTATTTTATGGAAATCGTCCATGTTATATGCGGATATTTCCATCAGTTGGTGAAACCCAAATTGTCGTAAAACTCGACCGGCATCATAGATTTCAACAATTGCAAAATGGAGCAATGATGTTACGGCACACCATGTCTCTGTTCCTTCAAAGAAAAATGGAGGTAAACACCATTGGATCTCCGACTCACAATACAATAACCGATTAAACTGTCAAAAGTATTATGTTACTATAATTAACGAATTAATATTAAAAATTTCAATGTTAATGCAAAAATTATTAATATTTACCGCATGTCTACCGATTATATCGATCCTCATTCGGATATCTACTTTGGTTGCACCCGATAACTTTGTATCAGTTATTCAGTGTCACCATCTAAACAAAAAAAATTAACAACTACATTATTTTATTGTCATTTTTAAAATATTCAAATAACTATTATAAAATATCAAAACTTTAAATATAGGAATTTACCTTGCAACGAGAGAAAACTCCATATGAGCAGATGTAATAGGCGTAAAAAAAAGGGAGACGATACCACACACATGATTGGAGCAAAACTAAACAACTCGCTACATCCGCTTTTTGTCTTCTAACCACTATGGTCGCCTTGCAAAGTTCACGATACAAAAAAGCCAAAATTGCAGAACCCAAACTATATTGGCGACATACAAGGAAATCCTTTAATACCAGAAGATATTGGGTGTGCACCAAATTGCCCGATTTATTCGGTAGCAAGATCTCTCCAATCAACGTCATAAGATATGCTTGGGCTGCATATTTCACCTCTTGCTCCGTTGATTGTCCATCTACTCTAAATTCTCTTTCCAACCACATCATCCGTATTCGCATCTCATCAATGACATCTGTTGGAGACTCCTTTCCCAATAAATCATAAATAACTTCATCTCGTGCATAATTGTTGCAAAGTCAAAACGTCAAGTTGATACGTAACATCTTCCAATGTTATGGTCACTTCACCAAAAGAAAAATGAAACATATGTTTCGGGCCTCCAATACTCAATCAACGTTGATATCAGTGCCAACATCACCTTAAAACCACGAAGAAACATTGTTGGATATAATCCAGATTGTTGAAGATATATCATAATATGCTGATGTGGCTCTTCATTCGTCCTTCATTGATGACGAAGGCCTCGTTCATCTTGCTACAATTTGAAAATAAATTAATTAATAAAATTATATAAATAATTATTATTAATACTATAATTTTTAAAAGTAAATTAAAACAAATTAAATTTACTGTAGTTAACTCGGTCGACGAAATATGAACATCATCAAGACATAACATTTCTTTTCTTGAGGCAAATTCAACATAAAATCTTCAACAAAAATTTTGCTACTCTCAATAAAATGTTTGATTTCAAGTGAAAAATCAATCCAACTCAAACCCCTATTTATATTACTTTATTCAACGACTATAAACGGTTAGGTTTTTTAAATTGAAAATAGCCGTTGGAACTTTTCGTATCGGCGTGACGAGTTCCATTGAATTGTTTTTTAAAAAAATAACAGTTGACCAATAGTCCAACGATCGAAAATTTCAAAATTTTACCTATTGAAACTCGCCACACCGACGTGACGTGTCTCGTGACCATTAATATATATATATATATTACAATTTTTTTAAATTCCAAAAAAATTAAAAAATTAATTTTTATGATTTAATTTGAAATTTTTTAAATTCAATCGAGTGATAAAATAAATTTTGAATAATTTAATTTTTTAATAAATAATTGATTGATTTTTAAATTTAAATCGAGTCCCTTAACTTTACATGATATATCGTTACGAAACCGTTTAAATTGGAATTTTCATTAGCGTTGCACTCATGTCATATGCAATTAATCATCATATATTTTGCCTGCTCAATGTTGGCAGTATCTTTTATGGTTTCAGACAGTGGCGGATCTAGAAATTAAAAAATAAGGATCCAAAATTTTAATACACTATTCTAAATAAATTTGGGTATGCAAATTTTTTTATTTTTTCCTATTCCTATTAACAAATTAAACTAAATTTAATATTTTTCTCAAAATAATGGGGTATATATCTCACGGCTGTAAGCAGTTTTTAGGTGATTTTTTAATGAAAAAACTACTATAAAAAATATTCATTTAAGTTAAAATCTTTAAGCTCCAATTCATTCCAAAGTATTCTCATTTGAGAGCATTTGAAAATTTATTCCATCTGAGTGAGGTCTTGAGTGCTTAGAAGATCCTAGGCTATTCTAGTTTTCGCGTAGCCAAATTTGTAACACTTGACGGTGGTCCACGGTGGTTCATTGTGGTCAACAGTGATGCAATCATATCCCAATTTTGACATATGATATAGACAATAGCTGGAGGTACTTATAACTGATCATTTTCGTTGCGTTTATGTTTAATATATGTTTACGCTCAAATCATATCCACCCCTAGGAACCCTATGATTCAGTGAAGGAGCCTCGAAATTTCGATTCCTTTAAATATAATCTTGACTGTAGTCAACTACCAAGGATGTCAATTGCACATCAAGTAGAAAATGGCCTGATATCAAAGCAAGTGTTGTTCGGTTGTTTGTTTGGATCCACTACCTCGTACTATTAGTTTGAGACTTTGTTATTACAACTATGTCCGATGCTCACTTGGAGAATTCAGAATTTGTTGATGACTACAAAATGAACTCGTCGATTGTTGATGATTCATTCTTTTTAGTTTAGGTGAAGAGTCGCAACCAATAAATAAACAACAACCATTGGCTAGAGTATAGGTGAAGAGGATAGTTGATCATGGAGGATAAAAAGACGACATAGAGGAAGTGAGGGTTCTATCTCCTTTTCTAGTTTTGATTGGGGTATTATAGTGTCCTTATTACGTATAGTCATCATGGCTATTATTTATCTTGTAGTCAAATTTTAGATTTCGTTCTAAAGCATCACGTGCGACTGTTAAAAGTCTCGTCTAAGCATTGTAGTTTACCAAAAGCATGTGTTTAGAGGATGTAGACTAGCTAGTCGAACACTCTGGTGGATGTAGAGGTCTGTCTGAAGACCTTGATTGGTAGAGAGTTAACAATTTCAACGGGTTAGATCAAACGGAGGTTTGGAGCTTGGATTAGACCGAGTATTGTTGATGGTAAACAAGTGAGAGTGATTGCAGCACCAAGAAAAACAATCAAATGAAGTTTTCAACATTAATTTTCTAATTATCAAAGAGTTTTCAGTTGTCGTCCCCAATCTTTTTTGTATCATCATCCATTATTAAGAATAAAAAAGAAAGAGGGAAATCAGTTGAGAAGAGTCATTTGTTGGATGTTAAATGGATAAGCATGCAAAGGAGGGCCGTAGATAGCACGACGAGCCAGAATCGCATTAACAGCTTCCGTGGGATGGAAGGCATCCCAAAACACGTACTGGTTTCTGTTGGTGCATGGATTCTCAAATGGCAGACATGTTATTTGCCCTTGGTTCCTCCCTATTCCACAGCATCCTCTGTCAACTACATTGAACCCTGCCATTTTCTTCTTCATTATTATATGCAATACTAATAATATAAAGTCATGTGTCCTCAAAGTATGATTCTCATTTTAAATGTTTCAATACCATCCTTAAATTATGACTATCATTCTAAATTAATTCTTAAATTTTTGAACATTTCAATTTCATCTCCAAACTATGACCTTCATTCTAAATTGATCCCCAATCTTTTTGAATATTCCAATTTCATCCCAAACTATAATTATATACTAATCGCATCCCTTGTAAATAAAACTGTTAGGCCAAGTTATACTATTATATGTCTGAAAAAACCAAAATTTAGGTTAATTTGTGGTTGAAACTAATTACATATTTGGATGAACTTGGGGATGAAATTTGAATATTTAAAAGGTTTGGGATTAATTTAGAAAGAGGGTCATAATTTAGGGATGAAATTAGACTGTTCAAAATTTTGAAGATTAATTTAGAATGAGAGTCATAGTTTGAGGATGAAATTGGAATACTCAAAAGTTTAAGAACCAATTTGAAATCAATATTGTGTCGAAATGATCTATACTTTCAATTTTGACAATATGATCACATAACTATTTAAGTGATTTCAATGTAGTCACATGTTGAAAAACAAATAGTGTAGCTGATGATGTGGCTTCTATTGACTAGCAACAAGTTAGAGTTCCACATCAGCTACGTTGTTTGTTTTGTAACGGCATATGGTTACGTTGAAACCACTTAAATAAAATAATTATGTGGTCATATTGTCAAAATTAAAAGTATGGTGGTCATATCAACATCAATCTCATAGTTAAATGGTCACTTGAGTAATTTACCCTTATATAAAAGGAAAATAGAAATACAATAGATAGATTTTGTGCTTTGTTACCGTGAGTTGCAGGATTATTTAGTATGTCACCCACAGCACCGTAAGTATTGCCATATGCAACCACTGCACCTTGACGCTTATTTAGTTCATCTACCAAAGATTTTAACCCTTCGTTGAATGTACCCAGTACATTGTTCACCGAATCCACGCATCTCCCCGTCGTGGCCTGCCCCGCCCTTTGGTTAGGGATGCAGCCGAGCGGTCCGATTCCGGCTATGAACATCCTCCTCAATCCTAGATTGTACAGTGTCTACGCCAATAACCCAAAAGATAAGTAAAAATCTACCACTTACGACATAAAATAATTAGTGGTCAGTACAGAGAGACTGTCACATAATTTTATATTATAAGGAGTGAATTTATAATATTTGAAAGAAGAAACAAAATAGATTTTTGATAGAAAATATTTAAAATTATTAAAGGTAATTGCTCTCACACGTTCCCTCTCGATATATCCCTTAGTGGGTGTACATATTTTAGTCTAAGAATAGTTAGTTTTTACCAGAAGTTGGGAGGCATAGCGGTTGAGAAGCAGGTTGCCAAACTGTACAGGATTGTAATTGAAGCTAGAGGAGTAGATGGAAGGCATTAGGTAATTGTTGATGTAATCGTTACTACCAAACACCAAAACGGCAACGGATTTGGCAAGGAAACTCGTCAAATTATCACCCCCCATCATTGCTCGTAGTTGATCCAATGTTGTTTCAAAATTCACTACTTGTTGGTTTAGGCTATACCTTTCCCCCTGCATCCATCACATACAAAGGAATCAATGATAATATAGGGCCTAATCCATGAGCGAATGCATGGTTTTATATTAAGTACGAACTTATGAAATTTTAGACGAAGAGAACGAATTATTAATAAAAAAATATAAAACATAATTAAAAAATATGCTAATTTAAAAATTTTAAGACAAGCGACTGTCTTAACCACCCCTTCAATCTTTCCTGAGTAAATTGATTTTGCAAGCAAAATACATACATAATGTTGGCCACTCTCATCAAGGATACCAGCAGCTGCAGAAGCATAATTTACTCCTTCAAGTAATTTAGCTCCTCTTGTGCTGGGATCAGCAAAGGCAGAAGGATAAGGGAGACCCATCATCTCTCCTACATATACACAATCATTTTATCATATAGAATTCAATGCATATATTCAGTGACATAGCAGGATTTATGTTAGGAACGGATTTATAAGATTCTAAGGGATAACAAATTATTAATAAAAAATACAAAATAATATATATATATATATGATAAATTGAAATTTTTAAGGGAACAACGGTCCCCAGTCACCCTCGATCCATCATTGGTTATATAGGAACCAAAAGAGAGTGAATATGAATAGTATACCAATGATGTCAACAAAGGTTTTTCCATTGCTAAATCTTCCGGTAGGCTGCATGTTGAAATCAATACCGTAAGGGAAATAGTTAGATTTGGCAACGGAGTTGAGGAAATTGTTGTTGCCAACATCAACTAATGAGTCTCCGAACACAAAGAGCGCTCGTTGGCACACAACTACTCGAATCAAAATAGTAAAGAAAATGAAGAAGGTTAAGTTTGGTTGGTAAAGAATACCCATAACTTCAAAATATGGATGTAGAAAGAGGATAATCAAACTCTTATTGTATAGATAGCTTTTGCTTTTTCATGTGAACATAACGTGATGGTGAAGGGTAATTATATATCCGTTATTGAAACGGACGAGTATAGTGTGAATGTGATTGGCTTTTTTACCCCTTGTTTTCGGCTGCTCCTTTGAAGGTCCGTTTCTTAACGTATTCTTTCTTTACAAGTGATGGAAAACGTTGGATTTTGACTTTTATAATATTATATATAATATTTTTTTTATTTGTCCGGAGTGAATACAAGATAGTATTTGTTCGAAAAGCTGTCAATCATTCGACAGTGAACACTCATATACCCATGCAGATGTAGTGTCAAAACTTGAGACCTCAATGGATGATAACAATCCTTTAATTAGTGAGGTCATTTGATTAGTGTTGTTACGTATAATATTATATATAACATTAAATAATAATATTTTATTGTCATTTTTTAAATGGGATTTTGGTAAAAGATAAAAGAAGTTAAATGGATTTAGTCTCTAATAAAGTTAGGGGCTTATAAGTATAGACACTTCAATGTATAATTTCTAAGTTTTGGTGTGCCAAATTAGAAACAAAGAAAATGTCCAGTTACTAATTAAGATTATAATCACTTTGTGGATATTAGATTTATTTCAAGAAAATATTTGTAAATGCGAAGATTCATATGAAATTTGAGAGGATTTAAACAAACTATTTGTAAATGCGAAGATTCAATGTATAGACACTTCAATGTATAATTTCAAGCTTTTGTCATTACGTCTACCGATTATACATTCCCCTGATCTGATGTACTCAGTTTGGATGACATCTTTTTACACTTTCAGCATAATCTAATTTTATGTGTTTAGTTCTCTCATAAAAAACTCGATTTGAAGAGCAACTTTACTATCACACATCAATCGAGCAGGTTATGTTTCTTTTACCCCAAACTCCTTCAACAAACCATTTTACAGACTATTTCAGTAGCGGTAACAATCATGCTTCTATGTTCAGCTTCTGCTGATGATCTTGCAACAGTGCTTTACTTTTTTGACTTCCAAGAAACCAAAGAATGTCCAAGTTTAACACAAAACCATGTTACTGATCTTCTAGTCATAGGGCATGATGTCCAATCTAAATAATAAGTTGACTTTTACTTGAAGCACCCTATCCTATATTTTTCTTAATGTACCTGATCACCACCTCAGAACTGATTCAAGATGTGATTGTTTCGACTGCTGCATATATTTACTCAGAAAATGTACTACAATTGTGCTATGCGGCCTTCTTGTGTGGGAAAATAAACCAACCTTCCAACCAATCTTTGAAATATTATTCTGTATTGCGGCAAATCATCTTGATTGTATGACTCTATAATCGTGTCAAACTTAACTATGGTGAGTTTCTTGTTTTGTTCTAGAGGAGTCAAAGTAGTTTTGGCTCTCCTTGTCCATGTATCGTCAACTAACTCCAAAGCATATTTGCTCTCCTTATCCGTGTATCGTCAGCTAACTCCAAAGCATATTTCCTCTGATTCAATACATAGAATATGATTTATGTATTATTTTAAAGTATTTAAATTATATTTAAATAACAATAATAAGTATTGTTTACAGTGTTACTCATCAAAGTCCTGTGAATGACTAAAAAAATGTGTAGCCGGTGTAAATATTGGTTGGTTGTTGTAGTTGGCCCCAAATATAGTGGGATTGAGACTCCACGGTTTGTTTGAAAACTTGACTTCACCATCAAACTAATCAAAACCCAAACATATAAGGGGGGGAAACAAAAGTTCTGGAAATATTCTAGTTCAGTGATATGGAGCTGTGATCTCATCTTTAAAATGTTTTCCCACTCTTTTGATTAACTAAATCTTGGTTGAGATGAAGCAGCTTTTCTCCAAGGATAAAATGGGCTGAGGCAGTAGTTTATGTTGCCAAAAAACCAAAAAAAAAAAAGTCGAAAGGAAATAGTTGACATATATGTAGTAAACTAGTTAATTTGAGGCAAATATAATAAAACACGACAAAATTTGAAGTTTGGGACATCAAGAACAAAGCATTAGCAACATAGACATAGAGAGTCTGAAATTCAGCATAGTTGAAAGTAGCAAATTCATTCTCAAACCACGCATCATGGTCATGGATGGAGAAGAATATCCCTAGTTTACAATCCAAATCCATAGGCATACACATATAAAGATTGACAAGTTCAACGAGAAGAGATGGAGGAAAAAAGGAAAGGAGAGCGATGAAGATTACCTAAGTCCTAACCATGGTTGGTCCGTTAGAAGAGAAGAACCCTAAGGAACCAAAATATCTCCTAGGGTTGCATGCAAATGCTTTGAACTCCACATCCATTCATGGAGTTACTACTAGATGCAAACACTAGTTATAGTTTAATAGAAAAAGGGGCTAATACTTCCCAAAGTTTAGCCACATTGGATTTACAAGTGTTAGTAAAACATTATCTTCCCTTTCCCTAAGAGAAGACACTGTTTGCTTCAGACATATTATAATAAGATCTGAAGTGATGTTTTTTTATAAAAAAAAAACATTTTTAAAAATATGACTACATGTTCTCCTAGTTTCTAAACCCCTATGACTAGATGTCAATGCACAAAAAAGGGAATAAAAAATAACTTGGGGGCATACGATGCCCTCAGTTTTTCTGCTAAAAACTGCCTCATTGTCAAAAGAGGTGATTTGCCATTTATGTGAGGCTTGCTTTTTGTGTTGTTGAAATTTACAGTTATTGCAAACCATTTTGTTTTGTTTATGAGCCTTGCCTAGGCTAAAAGTAACAAAAAAGTCTGTTTTAGTTTGCCTTTTTCCAGGGCACAAAAACTTCTCCCAACTTAGCTGATCCAATAGCTGAAGTTGGCATTCAGATAAAAATGCTTTGGTTCTCTTCATGGAACCCTTGTTTGAAAACGATGCAGTGGGAAAAATAAACATGCATGTCATTGGAGTGGTGCCACTATGGGGGGCTTATCCAGTGTTCAATGACCCAGATGCCAACCTTGGGCTGGGCCTTTGATTCGAGTTAGAGGGAGAAATAGAACCATGGTTAGACCAAAGGTAGAATTTAGAGCAGCCGATTAAACTTTGCTTGGAATGAGTCTCTTCAACGATGTGGGATTGCAGATGTATGAAGAGACATGGTCACGCCTGTGGAACAGAAATTACCATCTTATTCCAGTGAATACAAATTTGATTGCATGTCATTGGAGGAAATTGATTTAAATACTATTACTACAAACCTGATTGCAAGGCCGGAGTAGGAGCAAGAGACATGGGTGCACCATAGTGCTGCGGGTAACTCCCAGTAGAGAACTGAAAGAGATGATGTGGATACTGAACACCATATCCTTGGCCGGAAGAGTAGGCAGTGGCTCCGCCCCCGGTTCCTTCTCCGAATTGAAGATAGGGGTAGAATGTTGTTCCGGCACTGGTGATCAACCCACCCGGCCCGGCACCGTACATCGGGAACTGTGCAGCGGCTCCTCCATACACATTATAGTAGCTCTGAACCATAACACACAATTGCTCAATATATGCATATGGGGGCAACAACAGACTTTATGGCCATGAAAATGTAAGTTTCAGAATCACTGGTAAAGACACACTCCATTGGAACAAACCTAGCTAGGAGTAGGAATGAAGACTGGTAAATGTTCACAAAATTTTAGAAGAATAATGGAGGGGGATGGACCACCGTTCCAATTTCTAATGATGAAGCTGTTGAGGACAAAGCAAAGACACCAACAACTGTATGCATATGGAAATGCAAGTGCTAATGTCAAATGCTGGGCCAATCAGTACAAAGGGTCTGACCCTAGTCAGACGTACAGATAACATGTTTCACCCCATGTTTGTCATTCTTTAACTTTATTGGCTAATATTACCAACACGAAAAACACTTTATTCGGTAACATTAACCAGATTTATGTTTGATGCATGCTAATAATATAAATGTATACACTGACATTAAATTATCGTAGGATATTAGTTATTAAAAAGAAGTACAATCGAGATCTTATATATTTCTTTTGTTGCTCTCTCGATTCCTTAGGACTTTGTTTTGATTAATTTAAAATGACCCTTGTCACACATTTAATTTTGATAGTTGATTCTTTCAACATGAATTTTTTACGTACATAAGACCTTAAACTCGACACTTAAGTGATGTCAAACTGTTTACCAGTTATACTAATTCCGTCGATAATCAAAATCTTCTGTTAATTTATAAATTTATAGACGCGCATTTTATCAAGCACAAAACTATATTAAATTATTGTCAAAAAAGAATCACAAAAAGTGGAACAAAGCTATCTTCCAACCGCCAGGTACAACCAGCGAAAAAGTAAGGAAAATTAGCTTTTCCTCTTGCCGCCACCCATGATTAGTGTTTTTTTATTAGTGATTATTAATTTAAACCATCGTAAAATTTATTATTAATCGCTTCACGTAATTATGATTATTTTCCATTTTAAGAGGAGATTAATTAAAGAAAAAAGTGAACTTGAAACGCATCCTAAGGTGCATTGAAGATAAAGCAAAAAGAAAATATAAATATTTAGAGAGAGAAAGAGAAAGAGAAAGAAATGTGTACAAACCGTGGGGTAATTAGAGTAATCTGGCGAGTATGAAGAGTACCTAAAAGAATGGGTGCAGAAATAAAGTTTAGCCAAATGATATTAGCATTTTAAATCAAAGCAGAAACATGCAATATGCTATTATAGCTGGGGCATGCATGTGCATTTTGCATGCAAAAGCAAAACATAACATGCTCTTTAATATATTAATATAACTTATATATGAAATGTCATGTGTACTACATTCAAAACATCACATGAATGGTCATCATTATATTCGAGACATATTTATATATAGAGAGAGAGAAATAGGTAGAAGAAGATAGAGAGAGAAGATGTAATAATTAATGTGTTTGTTAATTAGTTTAATGGCACGCGAGGAGAAGAAGAGAAGAGAGAAGTATGCGTACCCATAAAGATTACAAGGGATCCCTTGTTGGATGGCATAATGAGGGGGGAAGGTTGCTGCCGAAGCAAAAGCTGTTGCATTCCCCGCTCCTCCTCCTAACCCTGTCTGAAATGCGCTCACTACCCTAAAATTCCTGCCTGCAAGTAAACGAGGACGGCCATATATTTTATAATAGGAGATAATTTTAAAATTTTGAGAGGAGATGAACTTATGAAATTTTAGGAGTGAAAACAATCTGTCAATACAAAATACAAAGAAAATATTTAAAAATATATAATAATTTTCCCCACCCAACCTCCTCAATCTGCAAACACCAGCCCACCATTTCATATTTACTAAATCACTCACTTTTTAAACCAAAACAACTAACAATATTGCTCCTTTAATGCACGAATGAATTACAAACCCTAATAACAACAACAAATATAATGGTAATATTTCGATATTTTCTACTACTATTCTTACTTCGCAGAATTTTACAAACAGAAGAAGACATGATTTAGTACGCTTCCCATGCAGCATTACGATCATAATTTAGTAAAGTTTCCACTTGTTGAGGAATATTCGTCGCTATATTCCGTGGTGAATTTTATTTTTTTTGCATGAAAATGGAATGTTTGCTTGGGCCCTGGATATCAACTTTCTTTTTTACTGATAACGTTAAGTATATAGTAACCACTTGCTAAACTTGATGATAACTAACTAACAATAAAGCAAAAAAGAAATGACATATTTGATCTTTTACTCCAGATCTGAGATATTTATGCGATCACCTAAATCCTAATAAATTCAGATTAAAAAAAATCCCACAGATCATTGGGAAACAAGTGGGATGGAAAAAAGAAAGCGGTTCATCACCATGTTTTGGAGTAGAGGGCTTGGATCTTTGAACACCCAAAGAAGCAAGGTTGCAGTTAGCCCTTCTCCCATCGATCACCGGAGCAGCATCCACGCAAGCTCTCGTGGCCGCATCCGGTTCTTTAAACGTCACCTATCACATCAATAACAATAATTATCCAAAAGAAAACATTACATTTTCAATCTCCATTTTCCCCAAACGATCAATTCCGTTTCATTTTTCTTTTAGAACACATGGCTAGTTACTAGATCAATAAGAAATATTATATGTGAATGAAGTTGAAAAACAGAAAGGAAAAGGGAGTATACGAATCCATAGCCTTTAGATCTGCCGGTGGCCTTATCAGTGATGACGACAGCCTCCAAGATGTCACCGAATTGCTCAAAGTACTTCTTCATGGTATCCTTGTGAGTCTCCCATGCCAGACCTCCAACGAACACCTTAGTGTAAGTGGTGTCACCGAATAGCCCTGTCAAATTAGCTGGAGTCATCTTCTTCTTCCTTTTAATCTTCTTCTGCGTTACTCCAAAAATCTAACAAATCAGAATTCACAAGAGCTTTCTCTGATGTCTTCTTCTTCTTCTTCTTCTTCAGTTCACCCTCTCCTCTAACAATCAAAATGAATTAGGTTTAGGTGGGGGAGAGAGAGAGAGAGGGAGAGAGGGAGAGGGAGAGAGAGAGAGAGTTGGGAGGGAAGAGAAAGCAAAAGTTAGATAAAAGAGAAAAAGACTCTTGAATTAATTATACATCGTTTGCCCTACCACCGCTTTACATTCTGAATTTCGATTTCTCACGCGACCGTCGTCGCCTTCATCCTAAATTAAATAAGATAAATTGTGAGTTATTCGATATTAATTCGGTTAAAGTTTAATTAATTATTATATCAAATAAACTTGATTCATGTTTGATTTATGCTCAAATTCTTAACGAGCAGAAACGAATTATTTGATATCCCACTTAAAAATCTCATGAATAATTCAAAATATAAATAATTTTTTAGATTTTTTAAATTAAATTATTAATAATTTTAAGATTTATATGTGGTTTTTTTAAATATAATATAAGTCTTTCATATACTTCAGATTCAGGTTTAAACTTAAATTTGAGCTTCAATTGAAATAAGTGTGAGAATATTTTGAGTTCAAATTTTTTTTTAAATTTGAGTCGAGCTTCAATTTTAATATTAAATTGAGTTTAAAAATTTTAAGCTCACGAATTTTTGACTGAAGTCAAACTTCAATATTTTATTTTAAGTGTAAGTCGAACTTAATAATTGAACTCAATTATATATTTACAAAACGAGTTGAGTCAAACTTGGTAGTATTCGATAATATAACCCTACTTCTCGTTCTCTCCCTCTACTTGTGTTTTGGCAGCTCGGGTCATCACGCGCGCTTTTAAAAGTGGGGTTTACTATCCGCAGAATTATTATGTCCGCTTGGCTTAGCTGTACCTTCTATTATTTTAGTTTTAAATACATTACGGAAATAACGTTTATGCCCTCTGACTTTTGAGATAACTACGGGGATTACCATATAGATTTGTAATTATTGGTCCTTAGTGGCAGAAACGGAACGGGGAAATTAAGGAAATGCGGGAGGTCAACGGTCAATCATCCAATTCCTTGTTGCTTCTGTCTAAAGCTGTGATTCTGTGTATCTTCCTTTTTTTGAACCCAAAAAAACAAATACAAAGGAATTACGATTTCAGCTGTGGCGTTAAAAAATAAATTATTATGTCTACCTGTTTTAACCCGTAATTATTCCAACATAAACTAATTTGAATAGAAATATTAAACGTAAAATATGTTCAATTTAAATGGTGCAAATAAAATAATAGTTAATGAGAATCATATTATCTCGTCAGTCATTTGAGATCTACTTTTTCTTCAGATTAAAAGTCGTAGTCGATAAGATAACGATCATTAATCGATATTTTTATGTGGGAGAGACAAAAACATAAAGGGAGTTTATCTCTCAGTCATTTGTGATCATTTTTTTTGAAACGTTTAATCTATTAAATGGATGGATGTATGTCAATACTTATGTGGCTGTCAATTTTAATTTTAACTTATTTTTTCAATTAATTCAGAAACCCAATGTGATTGGTGAAGTGCCCACCCTTACTACCACTTCTCTGGATAGTCGATCACAGTTTTTTTTAAAATTATTTTAACAAGATTTTATGCTCAAAATAATTTATTTATTTTTCTAGAGGACTTACACATATAAATGATGGTCTTTAAATATTATTGTGAAGTGATTTAATTAGATTTTTTTATTACATTGAAGATCCAAAACATGAAGGTTGAATTTTCTCAACACTACCTTAGTTTTTTTGTAAAAAAAACATTATTGTATTACATAAGAGCTGTGCTTTTAAAGTTGGAAAGTATTATAATTAAGTATTCAATGATAATACTAAGGTGGCGTTTGGTTCGTTGAATCCTTTGGAATTAGGGGGAATTAAAATCCAATTCTAACACTTTCCCATGTTTGGTTCAAGATTTCAAAGGGGGAATTGGAATCCAATTCCATTAAACGAGGGAAAGTAAATTCCATCCATAACATGATGGAATTGAAATCCTTCGGAAGAGGGAATATGAAATTTGACCATACTATCCTCATTAATCTTTTGGTATTCGGGTCAGATTTAAAAAAATCGAGATCGGGTCGGGTCAGGTTTTTTTAAGTTTGATATTCGGGTTGGGGTCCGGTCGGGTTTTTTTTTTAAATTCGGGATCGAGTCAGATTTTTTTTTTAAATTTTTGGGGTCGGGTCAGGCTTTTTTAAGTGTGCTATTCGGGTTGGGTTTAGGGTCTAGGGTTTATGAATAATTACAATAATACACCTCTATATATAATTTTTTTTTCAATTAAGTCATTGTTCTCGGGTCGGGTGAAACTTTATTTTGGTCGGGTCTCGGGCGGAGGTTCCCTTGTTCTCGGGTCAAATCGGGTGGACCAAAAACCCTACCCAACCCGACCCACGGTCATCCCTAATTGCGATGATTTTAACTGATGATGTTTATTAGCATGATTTTTATAATTTATTGAAATGAATAATCAACCAATAAAATGAAAATGTAATATTTTTTAAATTTTTATAATATATTGCTACATGTGAGTTATAAAACAAACTAAAATAAAGCAAAAAAAAAAGCAAGAAGGGCAATTATGTCATTTTACATTACTGAAATCAAATTCATCTAACATGTCTGCGAACCAAACAGAATATGGAATTGGATTCCAATTCAATTTCCTGCCAACCAAACATGTTTACAATTCAAATTCCAATTCCGGATAGATTCCAATTCCTTCACAGATTTCAATTCCCTCAGAAACATTCTAGCGAACCAAACGCCACCTAAGAATGGGTGGAGCTATCTCGGATATTTTCGGGGTCTTTAGTGAAAACTAAAAAATATGTTGTTATAAACGAAAACATATTCTATTATTTTAAACAATTAATTTAATATTTCATCGATAAGCCACAGAAAAATAATTTAACTTTATCAAACAAATTGTTTTAATTGTTTTGTTAAGAAAGCAAAGCCAAATCAATAAGAGATATTCAATAACTTACAAGATTGTAACTTAATAAATCTCATCCTCCAAGCATTATTTGAAGTAAATTCATCAATCAAATCCTCATACATAACTTTATCCAAAACCTCATTTTCGATCGTCACCAAAATTAGTCCTTAAACTTTTCCCGTGTCATAGAACTACACAAGTATGATTTGAGTAATTTTAACTTTGAAAAACTTCTTTTGAATGTTGTAACTATCACAGGAATAGTTAGCAATATCATATATGCAATAATTGTATTGGAAAAATAATTAACACGCTTAAAAAATTAAAATATCAAAAAAAAAATTATTTGACGTCTTTGATAAAAAAATAATATCAGTTGTAAGTTTCTTAACGACTTCGACAGTATTAGAAAAATCATGGTTATCAAAATCGGACCAGTCGGTTCAACAGGTTGAACCGTGAACCGGTGGTCTGTCCGGTCCGGTTACCTGACAAAACCGGTCTGGCAACGAACCGTCTGAAAACCAGTAGAACCGGCTGGAAATCGGTAGAACCGGGGAGAACCGACTATTAGAAAAATCATGGTTATCAAAATCGGACCAGCCGGTTGAACCGTGAACCGGTGGCCTGTCCGGTCCGGTTACCTGACAAAACCGGTCTGGCAACAAACCGCCTGAAAACCAATAGAACCGGCTGGAAATCGGTAGAACCGGGGAGAACCGACTGAAAACCGGCAAAACCGGTTTGAACCGCCGGTTCACTTTTTTTCTTTTAAATTTTTTTTAAACCAAACGACGTCGTTTGTTCAACGAGCCAAGTTAAATTAGAGTATTGCTGAGCTCGACTCGAACTCGAAAACTTTAAAAGTAAGCACAACTCGACTCAAAAACTCACGAGCTAAAAATTATCAAGTTCAACTCGAACTCGAAATATAATATTAAAACTTGAACTCGAAAAGGCTCAAACTAAAAAAAAAAATTAGAAGTTCGATTGAAGCCTAAAATTTGAGCTCAATTGAAGCGAAAGAATAGTTCACTCTGTGCTCACCAAAGGCTCCATGATTTTGAATGTCAAATTACCTCTATTATTTATAGAAGTAAGTTGGGATGCTCTTCTATGTTTCTTAGCCATGTAGGATTGTTTTGTTCTCATATTTTTACTCTTTAAACTTTTGGGATGCTCTTCTATGTTTCTTAGTCATGTAAGATTGTTTTTAAAAAAATTAAACCAAATGACATCATTTGTTATGCTTTTTTTAAGCCCCAATTTTATTTTTTTGGTTATATTTATATAATTATATTTATTATTTAATATGTTTTACTTTAAATATTATGTTTCACTTGATTTTATGGGTTTTAATTTATATATGTTATAACTTGTGATATTTTTATACCTTTTAATACTGTAAACTTAAAAAAAGTGTTACATATATATTAATATTGCTTTGAATATTATGTAAAATTAAAAAAATATTATTTTATATAAAATCTGGTTCAACCGCGGTTGAACCAGTACCTTCACCGGTTCAATGTCTGGTCCGATTTTTAAAACATTGAGAAAAACCATTCTCTATACTCCTTAAAAAATAAAACCAATTTTTCACGTTATGAAATATATGTATCAAAATTAGGGGTGTTCAAATGGTTAATTTGGCTACTGACCGAATCGAATTTTCATTAACAGAATTAACCAAACTATTTTTCTTTAACTGTTAATCGTACCAAACTTTTTTTGAAAATATTAACCGAACCAAATAAATTTCGGTTACTTCGGTCGATAGTCGAATAAACCAAATTTTTTAATAATTTTTTTAAGTTAGATTAATTTGATTTTAATATATATATATTTTATTGGGTTAAAATTTAATTAGGTCTTGATAATTTAATAGGTCTAGTTTGGTTAAAAAATAACTGAGTCTTAATTTTTAATGAGTTTGAGCTTTATATATAATATATATTTAATATTTAATATTTTCAGTTAATTCAATTAATTTGATTAATTAATCGATTTTGAACGTAATTAAAGGTTTTCTGATCGAACCAATTTGGTGACAGATCTTTTTAATCGAGCTAATTCGATTCAATTGATTAATTTGGTTAAAACTGAAAAATAAACACCCTAATTAAAATAGGGCACCCATGTTGCAATTTCATACTTGAAACACTATATATTCTTAACCAACCGAAATAATTGAAATTAATAAAAAGAATGATCTCACTTAAAATTAAGATTTGACTTTGGTGATTATCCTAAACTTAAGCCCTTAATTAACACTTTGCATTTCATATGAATGCAACTACTCAATACTCACCAAGTCTTTACCGATGCACTACATGGAGGCTCCGAAATGATCTCTCTTACCTGGGAAGCACGGCGTCGGGCGAGAAGTTTTCCGAGTGTGCATTTCGTTTCATTCCGAGATCTAGTAACTAAGCTGCACACCTTCTGGCATCTGACTCCTCCTCAGGGTCGGAGGATCTCTTTTGGGTGGAAGAAGCTCCTCGATGGGTCATGCATCAGGCAGTGATAGACAAACGTTGATTGAATCCTCCGTAGATGAGACAACATGGAAGGTTTATGTGCGCATGTTCTATCACGGTTTCATTTTGGAGAGCAAGGAGCTGGATGACCGGTTTAATTGCTTTTACTTTATTACATTTTTGTTGTTTCTTCGGATTCTTTCAAGGCATTTCTCTGTTGTGCGTTAGTGGAAAGTGATTATGTGTGCCTTAATTGGAATTTTTTTTACTTCTCATTTGGAAACCTCAACTACCAATCCCCCACTTCTCTGAACTTGTATGTGAACGTAAATGTAAATTTTCACTTCAAATTACAACAAAAAATCGTTGCAACTACCTCACTACATACAAATCAAGTAAGGCCTTCTTTGAATGTCACCAGTATCTTCAAATTGTCATGGGAAGTTACGTGTCGATCGATATTGTCACCGGAAGTTAGGGTGTCGATCGATATTGTCACCATGAATGGATGATTTCAACATCTGAGTCTCCTAATATATGTTAGCATCAAGCACCATACAAGTGTAATCAAAAGTGCAGCCCCCCGGCCACCTAGAAGCAGCCCGGCTAGAACAATCACACTCAGACACTGCCCCGATGACCCTCTCTCCAACTTTTCTTCTTTGACCAATAAAACTTGATCATCTCTTGATATCTTTACTTGTTGTGATTCATCTTCAAGCTCCTCCCTTTTATGCATATCAGCTCTCCATTGATCCTCGTTTTTCTTCTTTCCAGGTCGCAATTTCTTCGGCACTAATTTCTTAATCAAATGTCTTTTGAATCTTCCACTCCGACTCCTTTCTCTTCTCGTCTCCATCTGCGTCTCCTCTACGCAATTGAATTCCGATTCAATTTCCATATCAATCAACTCAACATAACCAGGGAGAACAGTTGTTGCTTCTTGTTTCGCATTTAATTCCCCAGCTGATGGTGTTTGTTCCCGATCCCATTTCTTAAAACCCAACAAAATGGACTGAAATTCTGGCAGCGAGAAACCAAACTCTAACAGAAAAAGCAAGAATGCAGCCATCATGATCCAAAGCGTAAGCTGTTTAGTACTAACAGCTAGAGCCGCCACAATAATAACTTTAACCGCCGCACGGAACCCGATCCTACTACCACCCGCGCATTTTCTCTGAACCATCACCGATTTTCCAATATCTATCCCAGAAGATTGTGCCTTTTCTTCGCAGGGAGGGTCGGGGAACGATCGGGGAGGCGAGGAAGGTAGACGGGTAACAACAGGGGTTTGGATCTGGGAAGTGGACTTCCTTTTAGGGGATTTTCTCAACCGATCACGATTCTTGACGAAGAGATCGACGAGGGAGGTGGGGAAGCCAGTCTCCAGCACGAGGGTTCTGCCGCTTTGGGGGGGTCGGTGGAGGTCGGCAACCAGCCGCGAGAGAAGGGTTGATTTAGCTTTCTTCCATGGAAAAGTCATGGTAGAATAAACCCCCTAAAAACAGAATATTTTCTTGGGGATGCTTTGAGTTGTTTGGATGAAGGGAAAGGGTATTAAATGAATGAGAAAAATCGGTGGAGAAGACACGCGAAACAGAGACTGAAATTTACATGATGGATGTTGCCATGTTGGTTGAGACAAGAGGAGACGATAATTAAAGTGACAGACGCGTGAGGGAGTTCCGGACCCAACCCAAGGGATTTCTAGGAGCCTAATATATTCACACGTACTAGGGACATAACTTTTTTTTTATTTAATAGTATAATATAATTATAAAATAATATATGTTTTAAAATTTTAACTAAATGATAATATACACCCTCTTCACGAAATTGATCAAACTTAAGGTATTTATAAATATATATATATATATATATTATCATTGAAATCACTTAATAAATTAAAATTAATTTTAATTTTTTTAACTAATAATAGTATAGAGTTAAAATTGGTTTGATAATATTTTGAGAAAAACATTTTTTATATTATGTTTTAAATATAATATATAGGATTATAATATTTTTATATTATGTTATGGGGTATGATTTAGGGTTTAAGGGTTTAGATTTCAATTAAAGTTCAAAGATTTTGAGGTTTTTGTTTATTACTGAAGTCAGGTAGTTGCATATGGATATGGATCTGAGACGATCAAGGTGTTGGACAGGGACGGAGCCATGATTAAATATTTGCAGAGGCAGAAATATTGAACTTTTTAGGAAAAATATAGTGTTTATTAGGTATTTAAACTCAAAATTAAGAAGACAATGATAATTAGTTTAATATTTAAACTTACAATATCATAAATTGTTATTAGACAAAAAAAAATTAGGAACACATGATTATTTTTCTTTAGTTTGACCCCTTCTTGATTAAATATTTAATAAATTGTGATATTTTTTAATTTGAATAATTATTTTTAAATAAACCAAAATATTATTAGACCAAAATCTATTGAATATATAATTTTTTTATAGGGGACGGGCCCTTTGGGCCCTAACATAGCTTCGTCTCCGGTGTTGGAGTATAATACGCAAGTTAGGGCGGGCTGATGATGTCGTAGAACATATGGGCAGCTCGTGCTAGGTAGGGGAGTAAGGGCACGCGACCAAAGTAAAGTGTTGGTAAGATTAGTGAGTGTTTGGAGCAGGGGTGGGAGAGAGGTTCTTGAGCGTGATCAGGAGGGTTTGGGATTTATGGGGTCGTGCATTGCCAATGGATGGAGGGTGGTCGAAAAGGAAAAGGGATCGAAAAAATATAGGGTTTTAGGGCTTTCTTTTGATTTGGAGTTTATGATTTAGGGGGTTGCACAATGAGGGTTAGGGATGTGCAACACTAGTGGACAGAGGGTCATCGAAAAGGAAGTGGTCGATGGATAGAGGGCGGTCGGGGAAAAAGGATCGATGGACTAAGGGTGACCAAAAATGAAGGAATATTGACTTGAATGCTAGGAAAAGTGCTTTCTTTTAATTTGGGGTTTGGATTTTAGGGGTTTTTTTATAAATAATTTTACATGACATTAAATTAGAATATGTAATGTCATAAAAAGATATTAATAAAATAAGTCATGTCATATTCGAGTGATTAAAATGGAAATAATTTAAAACTTCAATAATAAAAATAAGAATGAAAAAATATAATAAAATTGTATTTTAATTAAACTAGAGTTTCATTAAATAAAATTTTAATTAATTTTTATAAAATCAAAGCCATAATGAAGTAAAATTATGAAAAATAAAATATAATTAATAAAAAAATATAAAAACAATACTTAAATTAATATAGAAGCGTGAAACGTAAAAAGTATTAAAACAGATTGTTTAGATTCCATAGTTGGATGGAAGAATATATAATCTCATGCGGTGTCTTTAAATCTTCCAACATATTAAATTAAAGATTATATTCAGATCCAGATATCCTGATATTCGATCCAAAAATTTAGATATCTCATTTCTTTTAGCTTCAGATGTAAATAATACTTTTAGTAATTTCAAATTTCATATATTTAAAATTTCAGATCAAATAATATTTGATTTGTTGGAGTTGGTTTTTTCATTTAAAATTCTTGCAACCTCTTGATTATCCATCTCAATTTCGACTTTATTAAATCCCAACCTCTAAGCAGTTGATGCCCGCGCTGCGCCGTCAGCATCTGCCTTTTGGTCTCTCCCAACGAATATCAGCACGTAGAGTATGGTTCAAATCGGCAACATGTCCTGAAACAACGTCCCTGTTTGTTTCCTCTTGGATGGATTGCAATAACGCCATGTTTCAAATGCCCAATGCAAAGGTTATGCATCATTCAGCCATAAATCAAACCAAAAATCAGTTCATCGGCCATTATCCATGTTCCATACTGAACCAGTACACCCTGCCTCTCAAATATTACTTGGGCTCTTCTAAAGGCGATAGCAATTTCGATTATTCCATAAATAGATTGAAATTTCATTTCCCCATTTATGCTTTGTGCAAAGGACACAAGCCCAAAGTTTGTCCTCGTGAACAATTAAAGGTTATACATGATGTTTCATTATCTATGTTGCTCGAGAAAAAGTATGCGTTTTGGAGACTACTAATCCGATGACCAGAACATCGGAAAAACTTCTTCAATACATGCATTTGGGGTATTGAAGCCTCCACGAATAATATCAAATCGTATACAAAGAAAAATTGGAAGATGTCGGGACCATTACGAGACAATTTGATATCCTTCCGAGCCCCATTTGAACAAGCATTTCGATGGCTTACGAAAGTCTCTCCATACACAGCGCGTATAAATATGGAGATATAGGATTCTCTTGACGAATACCTCTAGCAGGCTTAAAAGATTCTGTCAATTCTCTGTTCCATGACACTTGGAACGATATGGAGCACACACACTTCATAAATAAACTGATACCAGGAAAGAAGAAAGAACAAGTTTGTGGAAGACTAACCTAGGAAGATCCCTTGTGTTTTGACTTCAAAGTAACACAGTTCGTGCTTTCAAGTGTTTTATGCATCCTAAATTTGATGCTTTGAGTGTTGAATTCATGAGTATTGGTTGTTTCGAGTGCAAGCATGTTTGGATGATTTTTTTGTGTGGCTTAAACAGTGTAAAGATTATTCAGCAGCCAGCAATGCTTCATGTGCAACAATGGCCTCTAACTCCGGTGGGCACCGCAGTGAAAAAAGAACTCGCCTAGGGGTTGACCACAACATAACTTCGTAAGAGAATCAACTACTTGAGTTTGTTCACGTTTCATCTGATTGAACTGAATCTCCATTCTCACCGCATGTTTAAGGGTTTCGTACATAGGATTACCGAGCATTTTCCAATGCTTTTAGCGAATCCAAAGATACAATTTGTCGAGTATACATTATTAATACTGTGTGACATTAGGCCTCATTCGATGTTGGAGGTATGTTCCTAATGATGTGTGGCCACATGCCTCACCCATGTTGTACATGATATTGTATGGTTCGATTACTTACTAATGGATATCTTGTTACTATATAGGGATATGCAAAGATATTCGATCTATTGATTTAATGATATGATCCGAATATTCAAATATTTTATATGATTTTTTCGGATAATTCAAATTGGATATCTTATTAAAAAATTGGATAATCCAATCAAAGACAGATCAAGAAAATTATAATTTTAACTGAATATCTGAAAAATAAATGGGAAATCGCTGAAATATGATGCATATAAGTGAGAAATGCCATAATTTCCCATCTAAAAGAACAACGTTAATGCTCAAATTATTGATGTCACCAACTTCTTCTTTTCAAGTAAATGAATCTTCTCCATCTTCATATTTATCAAACCATCATCAATGGTTTCAACCATTCAAGCCGATAACGATTGAAGGTAATATGTACCAGCCCCAACTAGTGAAAGTGGAAGAATAATGCATGATTATTGCAGAAGAATTTTGCAATTTCTTCTTAGTGGACCAAGCTTCGTCTCTTCAATAGTATTTGCCGGGCAGTAAAAAGAATTAAAGTCTTTAAAACCCCATCAATTATAGCAATGGATATCTAGATATCTCATCCGAATATTCATATACTTGGTTATTCTCGATCAGATCTAGATCACTATTTTTGTTATTCGAAATTTCGATGTCGAAATTTTTAGATCGAATCGAATCTGATATCCGAATTTGCCTAAAACTATATAGTCCAGGAGCCTCCATTGTAGGAGGAAATTGGTTCATCAAATGTTTGTGTGATTCTTTTCTTAATAGTCTTAGGATAATTACAATATAATATGTATTCATAATTTTTCTTAGCAATTGATAATGTGCACACACCCATAGGCATGACTACTTGATCCCAAAACCTCTAGTTGATAACGTTGTACTCATGCCTATTTTATATGTTATCATTCATACTTATGTGTATGATGTGCATAAAGTATAGTATAGTAGAAATATGTTGTTGAGCTTGTATGTTATTAGATTTTGCTCGAGTTAGAGGAGGATCGTCGATAAAAGATTCTTAATGTTTTTTCTCATAGTGTAATATTATATTACATTAATAGACACGTGTACACATACAATCTTACCTTATATTTTGAGGTATGTAATTCTATTATATTTTGATATGAAATTATTTTGTTATTATACTAATTTATATTATGGAGGTTCGTATTTTAAGTAAATGTTTTACTTGTTCGTTTATTTTATTTATATGAATTATTTTAAACAAGTAACTATTTTTTACTAAAAAAGAGTTTGAAAAAATTTATCCCTCTAGTGACTCAATGTGACATCTTGGATCCATCGAAATTGTCAGATTGAGATTAGGATATTACATTAATCAACTGTGGTAAGTTTTAGCCAATAATTTAAGATGAAATTAAATTTTTGAAAAAAAGTTAGAGATTCAATGAGAATAATAAAAAATGAAGGTTTAATTAAAAATTATAAGATTTAATTAAAAATATTAAAAAATTCTAGTGTTTAGTATTGATTTTTAAAATTCAGGGGCTAAATTAAGTTTTTCAAAAAACTTTGATGGATTTGTAAATTGTCAAAATTCTTGGATGGAAGCTGCCCCGGCCCTATAACCCTGCAAAACAGGCTACACGAAGAGGTTTCCTTGACGGGCTTAAGAGGGATGATGAGAGAGATGTAGAAAAAAAAATCAATTAATAAATTTTTATAAAAAAACAATTAAATTAAAATTTATAATATAATATTTTTAGGGTAAAGTATAGTAATGGTCACTGAACTTTTCTAAAGCTTTTATTTATGTCCCCTAACTTTTAAAACTTGCAATACAGTCCCCTAACATTTAGTCCGTTTGCAATATGGTCCACCAACATTTTGTCTGTTTGCAAAATGGTCCCCAACCGTTTGACGCCATTACACTGCCGTTAGTATGTTTGCAATATGATCACTAAACTTTTCAGGCACTTGCATTTAGGTCCCTCAACTTTTAAAACTTGCAACACAACCCTAAATTTCATTCTAAACTCCAAATTCCTTTTCGATCTCGAATTTCATTTTTCATTTCTCTCTTTTCATTTCTCTCTTTTCATTTCCAGCGTAACTTTTCAGTCGGGGATGTATGAGAAATTCTAATCTAACTTTGAATTATGTGGAGGTGTTGACTTGAATAAGGGTCCATTGAGAGAATACCTGACCAAGGGACTATTGGGACCATCAACGATTCAAGGTGTAATGTTAGATACAGGTAATCTCAGGATGTTCGATGAAATGCTTGTGAGAAAAAATGGGGTTAGAAATGCAGAGTTGACAAATACTACTGAGATGAAGTAAATATCATTGTTGAAAGTCACCAACAAAGCTGAAATTATTTTCTATAAATGACATATAATAATTTCTTCGTTTAATCCTTGTGCTTAAAGATTTTCCAACAGATGATCAAATATAATGAAATCTCAAATAGCGCAATCACCTCTCAGTCTCTTTCGTAACTCGAAAGGCATCATGACAGGGTCAAGTAGCTGCTCCAAATATACTACGCTGTCATGACGCCTTTCGAGTTGCGTGCATGCAGAATTGTCTTCTAAAGCTATAATTCAATAAAATTCAACTATAAAATTTCCAAAAACATGTAAAAAAAATTAATTCGTTCACGATATATCAGTCTCATAATCAACATGAACTTATTAAAAAGAATACGAGCTCACATGACGCCGAAAACCACAGGTCGGATCAATACAATTCCAAGTAAACTAGTTCCAACAGTCTCTCGGATTGAGCATGGCGATTTCACTATGTCGATACTCACAACCAATTCCCTGATTTAAAGAAAAACCAAACAAGAAGATCAAAAAAATTTAGCCAAGGACCCTATTTCACTTATACTATGATGGATTGAATATATTTCATAATGAGTACTAAAAGTTTTGATTAAGAAGAAAGAAAGAAAATTAGATGGTTTTGGTTCAAAACTAACACCGAATATCCAAATCATTGACATGCAGTTCCAGAAACATAAAAATTTCAACAAAAAACACACAATGCGAGCTGAAAATAAAAAAGTGCGAAAGAGGAAAAGCTTACTTCCGGATAGCCCAAAAGAGAAATAATACCTTCTTGCAAGTGAGGGAGAGGCTAAGAAATAAACGCAATCGGTGTTGCATTCAAGCAATTCTTCCTTCATTTTTTCTTTGTAAATAAAAAGCTGAAAGACAAAGCACTGCTTGGGTTTACAATTTTACATTGCGGAAAATTAAAGAACAAAAACCAAACAAGAGGTGAATGCGCTATTTGGGATTTCATTATATTTGATCATTTGTTGGAAATCCTTAAGAACAATGATTAAATGAAGAAATTATTATATGTCATTTATACAAAAATAATTCCAGCTTTGTTGGTGACTTTCAACAATGATACTTAGGGTCTGTTTGTTTCCCGTAATTGGAATTACGGAATTGGTTTTCCCCGAATTCCTGTGTTTGTTTCACGTAATTTGTTTTTCCGGAAAATGTTTTCCCGTGTTTGTTTCACGTAATTCGTTTTTCGGAAAACGTTTTCCTGTGTTTGTTTCACGTAATTCGTTTTCCGGAATGTAATTCATTTTCCTAGAAACAGAATTTCCTTTGTGTTTTCTGTAAAATGACTTACAGATTCATTTTCCGTAAGTCATTTTCCGAATTTTTCACTTCAAAGCAAAAAATACTCAAAATAATTTTATTTTATGAATTTAATATTAATAAAATATTTTAATATCATTTTCATCAAAATATTAATTATTAAAATATTTAAAATATATTTATTAATATTTTAATAATATATTATATTTTTAATATTATATAAAATAATCAATTATATTTATAATATAAGATATTATATTTTTATTTTAATAATATATAATAATTTTTTTTATATTTAATAATGAATAATATATTTATATATTTCAATAATATTTTAGTAAGATATTAAAATATACTAATTAATTTTTAAAATATAATATAGCACTATTACTTTAATAAATAATTAATATAATTTATAATATTTTATTTCACTAAAATATACCAAAAAAATGTTTAAATAACATCTTCCAAACATCATAAAACGTTTTCCAGATGTTTTCCAGAAATGTAATTCATTTTCCATAATTCAAATTCCAGTAATTCATTTTCCAGTAATTCAAATTCCAGTAATTCATTTTCCGGAAAACCAATTACAGCCAAACAAACATACCCTAATTAGTTCATCTTAGTAATATTTGTCAACTTTGCATTTTTAACCCCATTTTTTTCTCACAAACATTTCATCAAACATCTATGCTTCACCTGAGATGACATGTATCTAACATTACACCTTGAATCGTTGATGGTCTCGATAGTCCCTTGGTCGGGTCTTCTCTCAATGGGCCCTTATTCAAGTCAACACCTCCACATAATTCAAAGTTAGATTATAATTTTCCATGCATCCTCAACTGAAAAGTTACGCTGGAAATGAGAAGAGAGAAGCGAAAAAGGAAATTTGAGATCGAAAAGAAATTTGGGGTTTAGAATGAAATTTAGGACTGTGTTGCAATTTTTAAAAGTTGGGGGACCTAAATGCAAGTGTTTGAAAAGTTTAGTGACCATATTGCAAACGTACTAACAACAGTATAACGGCGTCAAATGGTCGAGGATAATATTGCAAACAGACTAAATGTTGGGGGATCATTTTGCAAAACAGATTAAATGTTGGGGGACTGTATTGCAAGTTTTAAAAATTGGGGGACCTAAATGAAAGCTTTAAAAAGTTCAATGACCATTACTATACTTTACCCTTTTTTTTAAAAAACAATTAAATTAAAATTTAAAATGTATATTTTGAAAATATATGTGACATGAAATCACAATTAATTACTTTTATTATTCATTTAATGAGCACACGTGACCCGACCAATCTAAGTTGCATATATTCGGGTTAACTTAATCTTATAGCTTATTCCAAATTGTTTCAACTATGGTTTTTTTTCTGGGTAATTTTTTTTTCATAACAATAGAAAACTTATGAATCCGACCCGCCCATTAATAGTTTTAAACGAAAAAAATATTATCTCTTTTAAAAATAAGGATAAATCAAAAAAGAACAAATGGGCAGTAACCTATTGAAAATTTTAAATTAATATATATATATATATATATATATATATATATTTATATTATATTTTTAATTCATAATCTATTTTTATCTCCTAATTTTTTTTAAGTTCGTCCCATTTAGAAATTTAGAAGTTTGCCTAAGATCTTGCATCTATCCCATCGAGAGGTCTTGTGTTCAAACAATTACATCTATGAATATATCGTCAATAATTAAAAAGAATTTTGAAATATATTAGCTCCTAATCACACTCTAATATTTAAAAAATAATAACTTGAATTCCAAAATCAAAAGTCCATAGCTTTTGCTTAAATCATTGAAGTTCAAGGAGACAAGCAACAAACAAATTAAGGAGGAAAAAGAAAACAAATCATGTGCAGCATATCTCTTGTTTGACCATCAAATCTAATCCTCTTCGAATGATCCTTATGAACATCAAAAACCATACAAAAATCACTTGCTAATCCTAATGGGGACTAAACTATTATTAGTATTGTTGTTGGTATTATGAGTGGATCTGATTTTAATCAAATAAACCAAAGCAGAAACAGTTAACAATGCCAGACCCGTGACCCCACAAGCCAAGCTCCCAAACAGCAATACCTGTCTCACGTGATCACTCCCCCGCTGATTGCCGCCGCCCAACCACGAGCTGTCGTCGGAGGAATTCAAGGCCTTGGGGAACGCCACCGTGGACGGAGACGAGGAAGAGTTGGATGTTGTTCCGAAGAAGGACATAGCGTCCGGGGAGTTGAGCCCCGTCGGCGGCAGGCTCTGGTACTCCAAGCCGTGATCGGAGGGGCGTAGCTCCCTCGCCGTTGACTCAGCGATGATGAGGATGAAGATGGTGATGGCAGCAGCGATTGGTGTTGCGTGGAAAGAAGGCATAGGTGCCTCTAACAGCTTTGCTTTTCCCTTTTGGCTTTGAGTGGAGGACAAGGTGAGTGAAGGGCAAGATTAAGCCACTTTCACTTTGCATGTTACAGATAACAAGACTACTGATATATATGCCTTAAGGAACCTCACCGACGTCGTTTCAGTATCACATAAACTTTATTCTTTCCCTTTTTGGCATAATACCAAAATTAGCCCCCACTGTTTATCAAAATGATTATTTTGCCCCTATTATATTTTTAGAGCATTTTGGCTCCTAACGTTTCATTTCATGACAAAAAGGCCCCTACCTAAGATTTGATAGAAACATTGGTAAACTGTTAAAGAGGTATTGAGTAGGTGACATTAACTTACCAATGGAATGTCATATAAAGGCGGATGTCCTTTTTCCCTGTCTCAACTGCCCATAATCGAACACAACCATTACCAGCTCCTGATGCAGCAAGGTCACTGCCTCTGCAAACACTGATTGAACTGTCCCAAGAATATGATGACGAACAATTATAGCACTCAATTTTGCGATCACCATTTTCTGCATCGTGTAGTATGAAGCAAATTAATCAAAGATGTTAAAAATCCGTACAGTGAAGCTAAAACCATATTTAAAACCTTTCCAATTTAGTTGCTTTCTATATTCAAACAAATATGAGAGAAAATTCTCTCATAGGCAAAAGAAAAAATTTGAAATAATCATTAAGGAATGAAAATGAAACAAAAGAGGTGTCCAAGGGATGTACTACTCAGCCCACTTCAGGCAAGGCTTAGGGTAAGATATTTTAAGCTTGATTCTTCCCCAAAGGTATACTTATTAAACAAATCAGATATTTTGCTTTAACCGAAGTCTAATAATATATATATAAATTATTAAAATAATCATTAGGAGTATTTTTATATATTTAAAAGATAAGACATACATATATGAGTGGTCGGGTTAGGCTTTGAAGTTCCATAAGAAACTCAGAAAAAGAAGGATTAAATTTTCCAATTTATCATATTATCATAAAATGATTACATCGGCATTAGCCCTAGTCAGATTTAAAGCAAACATCAATTATAATGTGCACACAAACAGGCACAACTTAGAGAATGTCACTGAGATTCTGTGAGGCTAACCTGTAGGCACCTCTCAGCTTTATCAGGCATCATATAGCTAGGAATAACACAAGTTGTGTGCAATAGAAAAGTAACTTTAAGAAACCAATTGACATCACTAACGAAATCAGACATGCACACACACACACACACACAAAATTAAAAACACTAATCAATCATCTCACCATAAATAATTACTCACGGTGAGATTAAAAGCTAACATAAATATATATAATGCACAATAATCAAGATGGATGCAAAACAGGGAAAATTGAAATATATTTTATTACCTAAACCATTATCAGGGATCTTTTCACTGCCATTTTGTTCAACATTCTGGCCTGCAGGCAGCAGAGCATGAGCATTCTTCACAACATATACAGGTTTCTTTCTTAATACATTCCAAAGTTGAATACTCCCATCATCCGAGCCAGATAAGAATTCATCATTGTTAATAAAGCAGCAGCACTCCAAAGATGTTGGTGGAGGACGAAAAACCAATCGAGACTGATCAAGAACCTATTTAGCATGGTTCAGAAGAGATGCCTATTAGATATGGAGAAGTAAAGCAATAACCTGGTAACCATCCAGACTACAGTCAAATGCCAGAAATTCTATTAGTAGTTCAAGACAATGCACATAATATGAGAGATGGAGGGGTCATAGGGTGTGAATGTTAGAAGGTATCCAACAATTTTTATTGTAATGGAAACACAAGCGAAATTTTGGTGCAAGTGTTACTCCAACTCACATTGTTATTTTTGTTCATGATTTTCTACTTGACTACTTGGATAATGATCTAAAAACTTCAAAATTATGTTTACCTTAAACAACATCATACATCGATCACGTCCAACAGTCAATACTCGTTCTTTGCTTAGGCAATCAAGAGTCAATACTTCACTTTCATGACCACATATTGTGTCAATGTAAGCTCGGTCCTCCATGTTCCAATACTTGATTGTTCGATCAAAAGATCCAGAAAAAAGATCTGTGGTACCTTGCCGAAAACTTAAACAAGACACAGGCTTTTGATGACATGAGAATGCCTGTCAAGCACACATGAAAGACCAAATGAGAAAACTGTACCGTTCATTTTTGGAAAACAGGAACGGGTTAAGCTGCTGAGATGCACTGATTAATGTCTAAACTAAAAACAAAAATGTCATTTTTCCTCTTCTTTTTCATTCAGTTTTGGGGCTTCTTTCTCAGAAAAAAATGGTATAAAACATCATCAAGCATATCTGCCATGTTTAATAAATAAGGCAAAATTACCTGTAAATGTTCTCTTGTACGAGTATCCCATAGATGAACATGGCGGTCTAAGCCTCCACTTTCCAAATACCGGCCATCCGAACTAACAGCCAATGCTAAAACACTTTTACTATTCTTTTTAAATCGACCTCGTGGATCCTTGGCCCTGTGACTTTTAAGGATATCTTCACTAGGCCATTGGTACCTTTCAGTTTTCCCACTCTCTACATCCCACTGTAAAATAGTACCGTCCTTGGATGCCGAGAAGCCCTTCAAGTCATCATTGGAGAGAGCTACAGCAGTAACAGATTGTCGATGCTGGACCAAGACTTTAAATCCATCAGCAGTTTCCGGTTTTTTAACACTGAGTTGAGTAATTCAACAATTAAAGCATCTAAAACAACAATCTCTCAATCACCAAACAAAAGTCCTCCTACGATATTTCCGTAGTTTAAACATATAAAAGAATTATTTTTTTACCTGGAAGCAATGACTCTCCTAATCCTACCACTCTCCTCAAGCTGCTCTTGCTGCAAAATCTTGGCCACAAGCGAATCTCCGGCCTCTTCCTCATCCATTTCCTCGTCCCCATCCTTGTCTTCTTTCTCCTTCCTTGCTATTGCCCGCATCTTATCCAAAAGCTCAGTCGCCACCCTTTTCCGAATCTCACCAGGGGTGTCCTCAATCTCGTCCTCATCATGCTCTCCGCCGATCGCGTCAGAACCCCCCAGAATCTCCGCTTCCTCTTCGGAACCCCCTGAATCAATGTCATCATCCTCATACGCTATTTTCCGCCGCTTCTTGCTCTCCGTGTCGAAGAAGGTATCGTTTTTTATCGAAAATTTGTTCCCCTTGGGGCCGAAGACCCCTACTTCTTCTCATTCTTGCTCTTCAGGCTTCAACAACCAGTGATGGAAACAAAATAAATAAATAAATGAAGTGTTATTCAAAACCCCAAGGAGAAGCAAGGGTTTAAACTTGGGTTTTTCTGTAAGAAAGATGGTTTTATGTACTTGTGTGATCTAAATACTGGCCGGGTTTCGGCTGCGAGTAAGAATTTGGATAGTACTGAAGTCGCAAAAAGAATATGAAAGAATGGGTCAATATCATATTTTACTCTTAAATTTTCATTGAATGTACAATGTTGTATGGGTAAACTGTACAAATGGTTTCTTATATTTTCAGTCTGATTGATTTTGGTCACCAATTTAAAAATGAGTGATTTGATCCTTATGTTATCGGTCCGTTCGGTTTTATTTTTTTAATCAAAAAAGAAGAAGAAGTGCAACACGTATTTTTTTTAATTTTTTAATTACCACAATACTTTTATTAAAGGGTTAATGTAAGTTAACGAATGAGATATTAAAATTGAACAGACCGATGATGTACAAGATTGAAACCATTTTTTTTTTGAATCAGTGATCAAAAGCGGTTAAACCAAAAACATTAGGAACCATCTATATAATTTACCCTTATACAAATAGAAAAGTTTAATTTAATATTGTTTTAATTTTTTTTATAATCGCCGATATTTAACTCTTTGACTGATTATCTCATCGTAATTAGTCTTTTTCAATAAAATATGTTTTATTAATAATCTTTGAATTTAGTTTTGATTTTGTTTAAAATTTTTAACATCGTAGGTGATTAGATTTCTTTATGTATTCATCCCAAAGTCCTAACAACAATAGAAAAGATACGGACTTAACAACATTCGATAAGCAGATTCTCATATATTTAGTTTAATTATTTTTAAAATTTATATTATTTTTAACCTATTAAGTAGTCATAGATAAATAAAGAAAGTGTTATTTTCTCTAAAGGTCTTCGATTCAAGCAACTGCGTTTACGGCTGTTATCGTCAATAATTAAAAAAGATTTTGAACATGTACTACCTTATAATCATCCTAAATTAATATAAAATCATGGTTGTCCCTTGTTCCCATATGTAATGGGGTAAGGGGAGGTAAGATAGTAGGTTGCCCCCAACACTAGGTTGAGAGCAGCTTCCGTAAGAGACCTCCAAATTATAAAATGCCCTCCATGAGACTCGATCCCACGATCTCAATGTTAAGAACCTTGTACTCTACCAACTGAACTGGATGTTTATTTCCTAAATTAATATAAAAAATTATATTAAATTTGAAGACATTACAATTAAGCACTAACTAATATTCTTCTTGAATTACTTTTTAAGTCCCCATAAATTTTAGAATTAGTCAAAATAAATTGTCTAACTTAAACTTTAAATCTTAATTTTTGATTTAAGTCCCTATTAATTCTAAAGTTAAACCTTGAATCTTAATTTTTGACTAAAATACCTTTTAAATCCTGTAAACTGAACAATTTATCCCCTCCCTAATGATACTAACATACTTTTTGAAAGCCTGCATTGACGACACACTGAAGCAACGAAATTAGAGTGGAAGAGAAGTTTAATGAAGCTTGGAGTATGGGGTATTAAACAAAAATGCGGATGTAATGCAATGAAGGGTACAACAGCAAGTATATTGTATGTATTTTTATGTGTTGAATCATCAAAATTTTGACAGACAAACATCCTAATACCCCAATTTTGACCTCATCTTGTCAGTGTAAATGTTAAAAAAAATTAAGGCAATGAATGAAACAAATAGATTAGCTTCTCTTACAAATTTCTCGTCTCTGTAAAAATCAAAATTAAAAATTGGGTGCTTCCTTCATGTGAGCCAAGAAACTTCAATCCGTGTTCATTTCGAGTTCGGCCAAGAGGGTTCAGTCATGATACTTGCCCATCCAATCTGCATCAATCATAGAGCTGTCAAAGCTGATCTGAAAAGAAAAAAAACTCACCTAATTTGTTCAGAAACACGAACTAGAATCAAATTCGATATGATCATAAAAAATTAACTAGAACAATCAACTTAAACCCTTAATGACTTCAACTCGAAAACAACTAAATCCAAATAACTAGAAAGGAAACGACTCGAGTATAAAATGATTCAGACCCAAATTATTAGAAAGGAAATGGCTCGAATATAAAATGCATGAGTATCCTTTTGATCATACATAAACATTTGCAATGTGACCTATTTACTACCAAATATTTTTCTACGATATTAAAAATCAAAACGGGAGATATTCTATGAGTTGATAAGAGAGGTTCAAAAAATCCGACTTTATCTACCCTATTCATTCAAGATCCAATCTGATTCGACTTTATAAGTCACTGACTTAAACTCGAGAATGATCTAATCCCGAAGGTCAAACCTAAATGACCAGGGTCAGAAATCACAATAACCAAAAATTGACCCGACTTCTTCAGATCCAAACTAACCCGACCTAAAGTACTCCGAACCAAACCCAACCCGACTACTCATTCAACACCTAATCAATCGATGAGACAGTTCATTCACATTATGGATATCATCTCAAAAACATAAAATGGTTTCCTTCCTAACTCTGATACTGGTAGAGAAGGAATGATTTTCGGGAACAAGGAGAACAAGTAAAAGTCCTGGAAAACCTAGTCTATGTTGCTCTAGTGTCTGAAACATTAATTCGAGGATATGACCTCCAAATACATGGAACACCCAAGTAAGATACATACCCGTATTCAACATTTATACTCCAGCCCGAGTAACATAGACTATAGTAACAAAGGAACACAAGCAAGCCATTCAAGCCTCTAATAGTTTGCATTCATCTTAGAAGATAAATATGAAACTGAGCAGTGTAAAAAATTACAACAGAAAGAAGTGAAACTAGAAAGGAAATGAACTCACCTTGCTTTCCGTTCCCTGCAGGAAGTCCATAATCAGCAAGCAGGTACAAGAGGAAAATTTCGTTCCAGACATCAGGTAAGCCAGGAAGACACCAATGGCTACAATCAGGTACCAACGGATTGTCACTCCACCCACATGTGCATCTCTCCGGTAGGCTGACATTGAAGTTACTTGCAGAATGGTTATGGGGACAGTCATATTCTTTACCACATCAAATACGGTCTCTGAGAAAATGCTTTGATCCCTCCCTTCGGTTTCTGACAATGGATTCTGGGTCACATTGCAAAACCTGCGGGATTTTTCACTGATGCAGAAACCAAAAAATAGTAATCATTTGTAAATTGACAAACATATTTCATTTGGAAATTAACCAAATAAGCAAATATTGTAATAGATAATATGTAGATAAATGGTATTAGATTATTGACCGCGCAAGGAACCCATGAAATAGACCCAACTCCAAAGCCTTTTTATCAGAAGATTGAAGAACGAAAAAATATTTGGGAAACTGTGAAGCAGATATCAAGTTGTGAAGCAGTTCAAATTGTACATAGAAATCAATTCAGGGTTGTTTGTTGAAAAAGAGAAAAAGCTGCAACATATGTGTGTGTGTATGCCACTGATTAACAGGATGGCAATCCAAAATAAGAACAAAAAACTTGTTTAATTTAGCAACCAAAAGGAGTTAGCTTTGGATGTGTTTTCTGAAAGAGCATTATGGTGCATGAGAGCATTCCGCTCAGTCATAGGTGCAAGTGTCATAGTATTATTGGTTACCTCCAGTGCGATGGCTCAAATGTTCGGAAGAAGACAAGTGTTCTGTTGGCGTCAATCGTGTTCTCAACCCATGATGCCCAAGTACTTAATGCTGTTTTATAGGCGGCAGGAATTGACATTCCAAGCTTTACTGAGTTCCTAACCTGGAAGTAGCAACCACTGCCAAAGAAGACATTTAGGAAATTTTCTTGCATGTGTATGTAAAAGCATCTGGGAAATGTTTTTTCAGCTAGTCATAGTAAGTTCATTGGATACTAAATGGTAAAAATAAATAACACATTTGACAGAAAAAATAGAGTACAACAATGGCCAGCGAGGCCTCACCAGTTTTATCTTTCAGTTTAGAATATTTTGAATTGTACACTTCACGAATCAGTTTAACTAATCATTCAAATTGAAGCTAAACTTGAAGAGGCAGTGAAAAAGAGAAATGTTTATTGAACAAACTGCAAGAGGGAAAAAAGTAGGGTGAAAATTATACATGAAGGTAATCATGAACTATTTCTTGGTTTCCAATCAACATTTTTTATGCATTGAATTCTATACTTTGATAGACCTTAATCCTCACTTCAGGAATGGGTTTAGCTTTCCAACCTTCAAAAAGGGCAAAAGCTGGAAGCTAGCAGTAGTAGGGATTCAAATTGAAAAATAAGCACCATAAGAATCCATGTAGAAACACACTCATTAATTATTATCTTATAAAATTTAGTCTCGAGCTACTCAGTTGAGGCCGAAAGATCCATTACCAAATAATTGAATCATCACAACCTAAAAAACCAGAAACTATTACTAAATGCAGTAAACTAATCCCAGTTCAGGTAGTCACCTAGAAACAAAACACTAAAATGACTCTTATTAGCAAGAAAGATTGTGGGTTTCATGATTTGCCCTGATTCTGCAGTGCAACAGGTTAAGAGTTCCCAAACAAAAGCATCCTTCATAGTCAGAATTCTGACATCCATTGGACAAAGTGACAATAGAATAAATGTTAAACAATAAATAGAAATACAAAGCATTTATACAATACAACTATCTACGAAACCTTCCACACGCTGCTGCCACAGCTAATTTTCCACTCCATAAGGTCAGCAGAGGAAAGGTAGAAAAAGGAAAGGGAAGGGAGAAGAGAGGGGGGGACTTTCCTTCATTATTAAGTAATGTGGACTTTGAATAAAGGAAAAACATATATACAGACAAAATACAGGGTACCATTTACCCACCTAAATTATGTAAATTTGGAAAATAATAATGCAAAAGAGACTAGAGCAATGTTTTGTAAGTGCTACCAAATTATTCATGAGAACCCAGAAATTAGAGGATATTGCTCTAGAAGTCAACATGAAATTATATATTTTCCATAATATAGGTTTATAAACAGACTGAAGGCAACTTACGTTTCAAAGAGCTTCCCTGGAACCCACCATTGTCCAGTGTTGAATATGAGAACATCTGCATTAATCCACTCATTGCTAATATCATCCAGTTTATCCAACTTAAGGGTTGACCTAACACGCTTTGGTGCATGCTAGGCATCCAACCATGCTGCACCAAGAAAACTGAGCGAAAGAACTCAATGGTAAAGTTGAAGGAAGCAAACCGAACACCTAGAAATCTGAAATGTTTTGTTATCTTATTGCCATTAACTTCATAAACACTCTTCTTATCTTCTACTCCGGTCATAAGCAAGCATATCAATGATTCCCACTGCGTTCTACTCATAGAATCTCCAACAAAAACAATCCTTTTATCTCGAAGCATTTCCAGAACATTGTGAACGTTAAACCTTGGAATATCACAACTTTTAGGTTTCCATCTCCATTTGAGATAATCTTTATCTTTCCGGACATATCCCAAGCAATTGA